GCAAGAAACAGAGACAAGTTTTGCGATATTGTCCGGATGAGAAACTGCTACAACCAAATTGAAACAACAAAGGAGACAACCAAAACACAAATAAATAATGAAACAATAGAACACAGAGCTGGCACACTCAAAATTGCGATTGAATGAGCAATAGACCATCTTGAGCATATTGATTCAGCCCACCTGCAAAATAAGATTAAGCCATATCAAAACTAAGAAACGAATTTAGAATAATATCTTGCCAATTCATATACATTAGTTTAGATCATTCTTACTTCAAAACGAATAGAGAAATGAGAAAGGTAAAAGAATATACCTTTTTGGAGCAGCAAGCCGAGACAAGACAAGCTAGTTGGAGCGAACTATATCACCACCACAATGAGACTTCGAGACTTCCGATGAGCGAGCAATATAGCGAAACTAAAACTCGAACTAGTTCTACCCCTCTTTTGAATGTATTTCTTGTATATTTCTATATCTACTTCTGTTTCTAACCTTTAATGAACTATTCTTTTGTAAGTCTGTTTTGGCCTCTATATATGAATATATTTTCTCAACCTTGAACAAAAAACTAACATAGCAAACAATGATATTTATTTAATTTTTATAGCTATAGTTTTAAAATATTTATTATATTTAGATATAATTTAATACTATTAAATAACAATTTCACTATTATATGTTGTTATACTCATTACAGGCGCCTTTTATGGTTCTTGTAATTTTTCTCCTTCATTATGTTAGATCATTGGTATTTTTTCCAAATCTCCTTTCATATCAAGATACATTCTTGTAATTTTTCTCCTTCATTATGTCCATAACTTCATATTGCACAATAAAAATCTCAGTAATTGATAGTGAATATATTGATTTCCACACATTTGAATGCATGTAATATAAGTAAAAAACGAATTCCATTAAAATTGAATTTGGAAATACCTGTATCAAATCTCACAAAAAAATAATGGTGAAAACTGAAAAACAAATAAATTGTATTTCAATTTTTATTTTGGAGAGATGAGAATACCAACGTCCTAGTTGTTGAATGAGTAATTTTAGAGGTTTGCTTAATAATGGGAAGTATGCGAATTCAAATTGCCCTGACTTAAGGAATTGCCATTATTAAAAGCAGATTTTGCCTTTTTAATGCCCCAAATTTGGAACTGTATACTTTATACAATTTTTTTTTAAATACATAGAATATAATACTATTACCATAATACATATAACTTACGATAATTATGATAACTATAGCTAAAGAAATATGATATTAACTCCTAATTATAGTCATTTATATAAGTTTCCTAAAAAAAACCCACCTAATTCAAATTTAGTGGTTTATGAATTTAATTATCATCGGTTAATAGATCATAATAAAATTAAAAAGAAAGATCAGCTGTCTTCACTATTACTATTTACTAGTGAAATTGAAGAAAGACATGTCTTTTCTTATGAAAGAATTAAGAGCTAAGAATAGTTGCTTACTACATTTTAGAGATTATATATATCGAGGGAAGCTATTCAAAAAACATTAATAGCTTGAATTGGCTTGGAGACTCTATGTTTCAAAAGTTAATTTTATTTAAAGCGATAAATGACAAAATCAAGAAATTAATTAGAAAAAGATAACTCAACTAAAAATATAATTGTAATAAATCATTGAACTTATTTTTCATCCCAAAATAACTAAACATTAGTGAAGGGCAAGTTGGCTGAATATCACCCGCATTAACCTTTACTTAATTTCCTAAAATAACTTAACAACTTAACATTCAAGGTGAAGTTGACTAAATATAACCCGCATTAACCTTTACTTAATTTCCTAACATATCATTCTTATCGAAATTCAGTGAAGGTGAAGTCAGTGGCGGAGCCAATTTTTTTATTGTTCGAACCTAAAACTTCTTCATTAAAATGGACATTCATTACCATTATGTCACATGTATAACTTTTGTCAAGGGTGTCCAATTTTAAATATATATCCTTTAAATGAAGAATTTGACATATTTATACTATATAATTTTCCGACGAGGGTCTCCACTGTAACTCCGCCCTGGTTGAAGTTGGATAGACCCCATTGCGTTAATTTCTTTTTGAAATTTAAATTAGAAAAACTTCATGATCCGAATTGAATAAATTATCCAAATTCGACCTGTTATCTACTCAATCTTAAACCATCATCAAGATAAATCATTAATTTATAATTCAACGCTAATTCATAGCCTTCCAATTTAGCTTTTATTTTCTTATTATATTTACGTAGTTTAATTTTTGTACAAATTTTCGTTTGAATACGCATAGAATGAACGATACAAATTTCAAAAGTTCCAAATGTATATTATACATAAATTATTAAGAAAAAAAAAAAAAAAAGGTTCCCACCAAATTCGATCCTTAAAGAGCTTTTTTGGTGTGAAAAACTGTTGTGGCAACCATTGAATCGCCACATAACCTATTTATGGTGACTAGGTCGCCACCATTTCTTGTCTTTTTCCCTTTTTTCCTTTAGAAAGAGGAGAGTGATATAAAGCCCCCAATTCGCCTTAAACTTGTCGTCGTCGTCGTCACCATCACCTCTTGTGACACAAAATCAGATTTCGAGGGTTGCTTCCAATTCTCTGGGCATACTTTAAGCGTGAAGAAGTGTATAAGGTAGATTTTCATTCATCTTGTTTTGTCTCATAGGTGTTTTTTTTCATCTATTATGTAAAATTTTATTTCGAATTGGGCTTGTTGAGCAAAAAAAATCCTGTGAGTTATGAGATTTTAGTGCCAAGATTTGCTGAAGTGTTGGTTGCTTCCGAAACCCTAACCCTCATTTGTCCCCATTTGCTCAAATGAAAATCAATAAATTTCAATCGCTACTGATTCTTGCATGTGTTTTTTTTTTCAAGCATCACGATTCCAGAATATTGCTTAGAATTGTTTAAACCTTAAACATGAGGGAAGGGCAGTTGCAATTACTACTTACTATTGTTTGAGCAAAATGTTCTTCTTTGAATATTTATTAAATAGGAATTATTATGTATGTTTGATATCAGTACTTTTAGCTAAGCTCTCCCACCAGTCACCCCCACACTTTGTTACATTTCTAGTTTTAAAAAAAGTGATCTTTTATCTAAACACTGGAAATATTTTAAACTGATGAAGTAAAAAAAGCAAAAAGGAAGTTTTGGGACTTTCTAATTGATTGAAGGATGGTACAGTGAACTCTACCCTCTTCAGTCAAATTGGGATGAGTTCTATTTGCTGCTTGTTCCCGAGTGACCCACAATAAGGAGAAGAATGCTACTCTATGATCAGTAGGCACAACTCAGGGGTCAAATAACTGCAATTCAGACAATTATGTCATGGATAATCTCAATGGTCTTCTATTACCAATTAAAATATACTTGTTGCCTTATGAATAATGTTGAAACATAGTAATTTTTATTTCTAAAAATTGTCTTCATCTCAAGTGTTTTATGTCCCACCTGACTGGCTACCTTCTGCTCTTTTGACTTTTGAGCAAGGCATCATGTTTAAGCTGGTAATGAACTTGAATCTGAAAGCACCACTCTTGAACAATTACTTTTTTCACAAGGACTAATTAATTTGTACTAGCCATATTTTTCAAGTTCACGTCACTTACCACAACCTTGCCGCTGTGCTTGATAACCTTAGTGATCTCTCCAATCTTATCTTTGTCTGGATGTAACTTTTACTGTATCTCCCGCATTCACATGCATTTTGTATCACACAGAAGTCTGTTTGGCTTACACTTTGTCCACACCATTGCTTAAGAAGCAGAAGAAAAGAAAATAAGGAGTAATTTCCTTTGTCATGGAATATGGTATTCCAACTACGAGGATACTATGTTTTCCCTGATGTAGTAGTTTCCTATTTAGTCCGCAGATAACCAGAAGATAACATTTGCTGGCAGTTGTTCTGGAACTGCTATTGAGTTAGTCTATGCACCTTTTGGTAAGTCTTCTCTCCGAGTCATAGAAGTTCATCACCTGACAGCACTAAAAAAACCAGAAATGGCTCAAAGAAACCAACCTTGGCTACGAAGCAACCTGGCCTCTGTTCACTTGCAAATGATAAAAAATAGTCTTGTTGTAGATGGACTGTGCATGATAAGATAAAGTCATATAAAGGAGGATAATAACAGAGAACTAGTAAACAATTGCAATAAGGGGAGTTAACCTAATAACAGCAAGTCCATATTCTAAATAAGATTTTCAGAAATTGATGTTATGTCATTTTGTGTACTCTTTTGAATAACGTGTCTCAATCGACTGTCTCCTTTACAAAGCCATTGGAAGTTTTATTAATAGTCCGCCAAATAATTGACACATGAGCCTGAGTGAAATATCTTGCTCAGTCTCTCCAAAATGTTGATGGACCTGTGTTAGGTCCTCTGAAAATGCATCAATATTGGAGGGATCCGACACACACCTGTCGGCATTTTTGAAAAGTCTGAGCAACATATCAGTGAACCGTTTTCCTTGTCTCTTGGAAGGACTTTGGCCTAAGTGCATACACTTATCTGTTCTCAATTGCCAGAAATATATTGGGCCTATGAATTTTCTGATGGACTCAACTTGTTTGTCAATGTATTTAACCTTGCTGTTCCTGCTGTCTGATAATTGGGTTCTTACTTCTTAGTATAGGGCACATCAAACTTCCTTTGGATCCACTTCTCATTATTTTACTTTTTATGCTTTCAATACTATACTCCCTCTGTTTGCTTTTTACTTGTCACGTTTGGACTTGACACATTCATTAAGAAAACAACAATTGACATGACTATTTTACCACACTACCCTTATTAATTGATGTTTAGTATCAGGTCTTGAAAAATAATTTGGTGAATAAGTAATTAATGCTAAGGGTAAAACATGGAAAAATATAAATGTCTTTTCTTGATATGTTAAAAGTGACATGACAACTAAAAGTGAAAATCTATTTTTGGAATAGTGGACAAGTAAAAGTGTACAGAGGGAGTAAAATTTTTGAATCTTTTTATACTTTTTATGTGATGTTGTAGAAATGGCAAGATTTGCACGAGGTAGAGGTAGAGGTCGGCGAGGTGGAAGGGGCCGTGGGCGTGGTAATGTTGAAGGAGTACGTGATAATTTTGCAGTGGTGTCATCCGTAAATATTAATCCATCACATAGACCTACACTTGATCAAGCATCTCAGCCACAAGCACAACCAGCAGGGATTCCTGAAGCAATTCAGTGTACTTCTCCAGGCTTTCGGACCCCTGGAACAAGTCAAAGACAATTGTCGGGGTCACAATTATCAAGGAATATGGAAGGAAGTGTACATCCCTCTTCAGAGAATTTAAATAACGATGAAGGTTAGTTTTCTTGCATTTCAATACTTCTAAGTGGTCTGTTTCCCTCTTCTCTGTTGTACTATTATGCAATTTTTACTTGTATTGTTCATTTAGTTTTTTCAACCACATTTTAGTATTCTGTTGCTCGTTCAATGTCCTTGGCCAATTTCGTAGAGTCTATTATGTACTACATTGTTGTACAATTATGTTTTGATAAGATGATGCTGTCATGAGAATCTTCATGGATGTATAACATACTAATTTTTATTTGATAACTGACAAATCCACTAGCTCACGGTTCGAAACTCGGTGAGTAGTGGGTCTGACCCTTCTCCATATAAATATAGTAATGTACAAAGACTATTACCCTCTAACCCAGTGGCGTAGCCAGAAATTTCATGAAGGGTGTCCAAACTTCGGACAGTAAATTTTTTAAAAGAAGTAGTTCTATAGGGATTCGATCTTGCTTGCATACTTCTGCACCCAATTGAGGTACTGCTCACTTCACGTCAAAGTTGTGCATTTTTAAATATCTTACAGATTTTAAGCAGCCCACAATAAAAAAAAGCAAAATATGGACGCAAGCAATCGAACATGGTCACCGCTGTGTAAGTTCAGTGCATACCCTTTCCACTGTGCGCTATGGGTCTCCATTGGTTCCGAGGGTGTTCAAAATACTATATATACCAAAATAAGTATAATTTGACCCATATTAGTGTAATTTTCCGACGAAGTGTGTCCAACTGGACACCTGACACCACCGTAGCTCCGCTCCTGCTCTAACCTCATTTACTTATGCACTGCCTACGTAAGTGTCCCATAGACTTCAGATCTAGCTTCTGATGTGTGAGTTTTCTTCATCATCCATCATCTTGCATAGCCTTTGTAATTGGCATGGCTGACTTTTGCTCCATTATAAGACAACACTTGAATATCTATAATGATAATGCAATACCCACATATATAGATGCAATGAAATCTGGGTAGGATGGGTGAGGCTTTGACCAGATAACATTGGGATTCTGCCACACTACTACATCCAATATTTATTTTTCAGAGATATTGACTATGCTGCTGGGAAAAATCATGGACCTAGCTACCAAAGTTTGTGCGCAATAGTACTGGATGTTACAAAAAGATAGATTTGTTAGTTATCAGTTGGGTAGTAACAGAAGCCTAGCTAATTAAACAACTGAAGGACCTCCTCAAAATTATTGCAAAAGTTAAGGTCTCTTAATCATTGCTAAATAGCCATCAAGTAAGATTTGTTCCTATGAAAAATACAAGAGAAAATTTCTATTGAATTGTGTATCTACATTATGATACGGAGCCCTATCTATAGACACTACATTGCAATCCTTATTTAAGTAGGATTCTATTTACTAATCCTATTCTTATTCTAACACTCCCCCTCAAGCTGATGCATACAAGTCACATGTACTGAGCTTGTTACCGATGTAACTAATATGAGGACCGGTGAGAGACTTGGTGAAGATATCTCCAAGCTGATCACTCGGACAGCTGCTTAGGTCACTGGAAAACTGCACAGTGACAGCTGTTTTCGCTGGAATGATGCACAATGATACTTTTCTTAATACAAGAGGAAAATATTATTGAATTGTGTATCTACATTATTAAACTAAGCCCTATTTATAGACACTACATTACAATCTTTATTCAAGTAGGATTCTATATACCATTCCTATTCCTATTCCTTTATTAACAGTTCCTTCTCAGGTTGTTCATCTATATCTTTAAACTTAGCATTCATATAGTGACGAAGAAGTGAGCAATATCTTCTCTGAAATTTGTGCTTCTTGATGCTGTTATCTACTCTTGTGGTGTGCTGGCATAACACTTAATTTCTTGTAATAATCAAGTTTCTTCTTGGTATAGCATGTCAACAGGATGAGCTATACATCATATCTATAGCAGGGACAATTATGAAAAGGAACTATATATTTGAGTCATCATTTTGTTGAAATTGTTGATACACTGTTAAACTAAAGGATATCTGGATATATCACTATACCTTACATGAGAACCACCATATCTTGAAAATATAGCTTCGGATCCTCCTATAATTCTTTCCAGCCATATATCTGTTGGATTGCTCTGGAACTGTTCTGAAAGGTGTTGCTAATATGTTTTTCCCTTTTCAGCTAGTAACCCTATTATCCTATTAGCTTATGACCAGTGTGCATCTGAAATGATTTAAGCAAAAATAAGTATCATTTGGTTTAGCTTAGACATAAAGAAGTTCAATTTTTAAATTTTTTTTACGGCTGGTTTCCATTTCTCTTTTGTATTCTATATAGTATCTTTTGCTGTAAAGTTTTCTAATTGTCCTATATTTCTCGCTTCACAGTTTCTTGCAGCAAATCTAAGAAAGGTAGGGGAAAATATAGATCCATAAACGTGGAAATGAAGACCAAATATGGTAGCAAAATCACAGTTCATATTCCGGATGACATTGATAGAGCTGTAGGTCCGGGGGCTAGAGATATTGTCAATTATTGTGGCTTGACCATGAGGAGCACTATCTCATTTAGAGATGGTGATTGGGCTACAATTTTTGCAAAAGATGGAGAAACAATGTGGCTGAAAGTGAAGGTAATACATTGTTGTCAATATTTAACATTTAGATGTCTTGCATTATTTATGTTGCTAGGATAACATTTATAACTTTCTCTGTGTTAGTTTATTTATAAAATCATCTTACCTTCTTAAAAATATAAATAAATTACTCCCACCATTTCAATTTATGTGATGGTATTTGACTGGATATGAAGTTTAAGAATGAAAGATTTTTATTTGAAACTCGTTGTTTAAAGCAAGCCATAAGTATTTTGTGTCTCTAAATCATCTCATCAAGGGTAGAATGAGAAGTTTAAAGTTAAATTATTACTAATATGGAAAACTAATTTTTTGGGACTAATAAAAAAGGAAATAATGTCACATGAATTTGGACAGGGGGAGTATTACCTTACATACATGTTTTCAGGAGAAATTTGAAGTAGGTGGTGGTAGGGGAGAGAATGTGTTACAAGGTTTTGTGGCCAGCACTATGAAAAGGCTTTTTAGAACGTGGAAGACTCGGTTGCATGCTGAATACTTGCGTTATAATACTGATGAGGAGAGACTGTCCCATCCGCCAAAAGATGTTGTGCCTGAGGATTGGGAATTTCTGATACAATATTTTGGAAGCCAGACGTTCAAGGTAACTTGATAAGAGGATGTTTGATAAATTATCATTTGAATATCGGTGTCTTAATCTGTTTGACTTTATTGCAGGCTAAAAGCGAGAGAAATAAAATAAACAGGAAAAAGCAAACAACAAAGCATTTATGTGGTTCAAAGTCTTTTGCAGAAGTAGAGGAATCCACGGTGAAAATGCATTTATTCCAACCATCATATACTTTCGTTATTTGTTTATGTCGTTTTATGTGCTCACATTTGTTTTTCTCATATGAAATATATATTGCAGAGAGATCCTCTTACCGGAGAAAAGGCACCACCACATCGTATCTGGGAGCTCCAACATACGCGTAAGAATGATAAAGGAGAACTGTTGTGGTCAGATCAACAATCTCAACAAATTCACGTAATTTTCCATAATCACTAGTTTTTTGTTAAATATATTTATTTGGAAAAGTATAAAAAATGCCTTTAAACTATGCAAAGTTGAACAAAAATGTCCTCATTTAATAGTTTGGTCCAAAAATGCTTTTATTGTTACTGTTGTGTCAAAAAAACCCTTTTCCTAATATACATATTGTTTCTTTTCTTTTAAATGACATTTTGGAAAATGGCCTTTTGACCGAAAGTAACAATAGGGACATTTTTTGATCAACGTATTGATGTTAGAGGCATTCTCGGACTAACCTATCAGTGGATGACATTTTTGTTCAATTTCGCATAATTTAAGGACATTCTTGACCTTTTTTCATTTTTTTTTTTTGGTAACAACTGTGAAATAATATTACCAGCACTCATCAACATAACTACAAAATAAAGAGCACCCAACTCCTGGACCACCTTCAGACTGGTGCCAGGAAATCAAGCCTCAAGCTAAGGCAAAAAATAGCTAACAATTCAGTCTATGCATGAATCTCTACAACTATGTGCTCTCTTTGATGCACTAAACAACTCTAATCTAATTTTCATGTCTGTCTTAATCTGTGTTACCACTTCAGCCGATTGTATATAGATTCCTCTAAATTGTTTCCAATCCTAACTTTCCAAGTATTGTAGTACACCCCCCCCCCCCCCCCCCCCCCCCCCAATATTGCTACCAGTATCTGCTTCTTGAACCCATTGCACCTCTTTCTTTTTATTGTTAGTAATACCCGTCTCACCTCCCCTGCAATCAGTGTAATCCCTGTCCATGTTTCTAGTCCTTGTTCCACATCCTTTATCCATTCACACTGCCAGAACAAGTGTTTGTTTGTTTCCTGAGCCTGCTTGTCACATAAACAACAATACGTATTATCTATAGGTACATTCAGTCTTTGCATTCTCTCCTTTGTAAGGAGTCTGTCCTGCACAGCTAGCCAAACAATAAACCTTTTTTCATATTTATTATTCTATATATGTTAGTATAAATGGTTTTGCATAACTGCAGGGCCAGATCCAGGAACTTGTGGTTCAACAGCAATATGAACGAAACGAGAATCCAATGTCTGGAGATAAGATTTTAGCTACTGTACTTGGCGAGAGAACAGGCTATGTCCGTGGAAAAGGTTATGGAAAGACGCCTCTTAAAAAGAGCCACATGCAACATGAGTACTTGGGATCTAGCCTGTCTTCTGCAATAGAAGGTGTGCGCCAAGAGATGCAAGCTGACATGGATCGTAAGTTTCAAGAGGAACGTGAACAAATGCGAGCTGAAATGGACAAAATGTTTCAAGCACGGATGGAAGAGGAGCGCAGACAAATGCGAGTAGAAATAGACAAAAGGATCCAAGATCAGATGGTGGCTAATTTAATGGTTGGAATGCAACAGGTATTCTTCCTTTTCTGCTGTGCTGCTTGATCTCTTTAATTATGTGGGATTGAGACATTGAGTCTCATCACTGCGATTTATTGACCTCCAACCCCTTTTTTAATTCACAATCTTCACTTCATGACATTGCTGTGTGCACATAAGTAACTGTTACATACTTATTAAATAGCGAACTGATGGTGTGAAGACAATATTTCATCTGCATCCATTTGGTGACTTACTCATGCTATGCTGCCTTAAAAAAACAGATAAGAGACTTATTTATGTCAATCTATGGACTGCCATCTCTACCTTCGCAAAGGTAGGGGTAAGGTTGTGTACACACTGCCCTCTCTAGACCTTGTAGGATTACATTGGATATGTTGTTGTGGACTGCCATCTGTCATGAAAAAAATCCAATTGTTTTTTCAAAAGTATGGGTTATAAGGTATGGTTAGTAACAGAATACACACATCCATGACTCATGGTTTGGGAACACCATTCTTGGTCTTTGCCCATGTTGCCATTATGTGAAATATAATTACTAATGGGAACTCTTGGTTTGGAAACACCATTAATCTTGGCGTATCCCAGGTTGCCAGTATTGTTCTGGGTTGAAACTCTTTGTTTGGAAACACCATTAATCTTGGTGTATCCCAGGTTGCCGGTATTGTTCTAGGTTGAAATTTCTAATCTTACAGTGATGCAATACTACTACACTTGTTATATGTGTATATTGTTTTATATGCTGACTGATTAGCCCTTTGCTTTGTTTCTTTTCTCTTTTCTATTTTTCTTTTCTATATTGAACAAGGAACACAAATTGTGATGATAACATCAATGCAAACTTAGCTAAAGATATGACACAATAAAGGAAAAAGATCCACATAGGTGATATCTGTTAGTTGGGAATAGAACTTAAGCCTCATTTGTTTGCATTTAATGGAGGTCTGAATATGAATGGTTTAGACCTTTAAATGCATTTGTTTATTTTAAGATTTAAGCCCTTATTTGGTCTGAATAGGTCTCAATCACTAAGATTTTGAATAAAAGTTTTTATATCATTACGATGTATTTTTTGTGGATAACTTTCGCCATTACATTGTCTACTAGACTACTACCACCCGCTACCACCATTACCACCTCTGCCATTAAAATCACCACGATGTCGCCAACCACCAACTACCTCTTCCATCACAACCATCACAACCATCACTAACAACCACCACCGCTGCCATCAACTATTATCAGCCACTACCATACCTACTACTTCCATCATTAAATTAATCCACTGTCATCATCACTGCCACTAGTCATTTCCGTCGTCGCCACAATCAGTAACTACCACCACCACTACCACTGTGATCAATCTCTACTACCAACTACATCCACCATCATAACTAGCACCATCACCAATTACCACTAGCACTATTGTCAACAACCACATATTCTTAAGCCACCACCACCGCCGCCAACTACTAACATCATAGAACCACCTTTGCCATCACAACCACCAACACCACTGCCACCACCAACTAGCTCTGCTATCACAATCACTAACTAATACCAACCACTACTTTTCGGCCGCGACCACACGTACCACCTCATCATTATTATTATATCCATTGTCTCTGCCACCGCTATCAACTACTACACCTACCGAGGTCAATTCCTACTATAAACTATCACAATTAGAACCACTACCAGCTACCACCAATACCATTATCAGCCACAACCACCAACACTGCAAACTACTAACATCAACCAATTTCACCACCACCACTGATGTCAACCACTATTGTCAGTCACTATTACATCTGCCAAATACATCATTATAATTACATTCATAGTCACCACCGTCACCGTCGCCTCCACCTCCGCCACCATTATGAACCACTATCACCGCTTTAGGTAATTCCTACTACCAACCACCTCCACAATCACAACTAGCATCGGTGCCAACTACCACCAACACATCACCCCTCAATTTTCAGCCGCCACCATTGCCACCGCCACCGCTAACTACTAACATCGACAAATTCCACCACCACTACCAACCGCCACCATCGTGCTAGCCACTAGAACACCAATCACCTCCACCATCACAACTATCACCAACCATCACTACCACATGCCACCACAAACCATCTCCACCATTACTAGCGAACGTAAATGTTTTTTTATCAAACAATAATTTTTGTTGTATTAAATTTATGTATTTATTCTTATATTGTATTTATTTTATATTTGAATTGTATATTTATTAAGTTTACAAACAAATAAATTATGCACATTCATATTTTGAGTATTAATCATTGAGTGTTCAAATCTAGGGACAACATCTTAATCATACAGGCATACATTTAGATTTAAACGTCTTAATTTTAATGAAAACAAATAAGCTTTAGTCTTGTTAGAGGACTTTTGTTATTATTACATTTATTTATAATATTTAACTTATTTTGCACTTCTATTTTTGTTCGGTGTCATGATGACATGAGAGGAGCTTAAATGGAATAATGAGTATTCATATAACCGACTCTAACTTGTTTGAAATTGAGACATAGTTGAACAATGAACACAATTGTCAATTTCTCGAGGAGGGAAGATCATTGATTTCTTCAGGTTTACTTATTTTTATCACTTAGGACTCTAACCATGATTGACCTTATTGGAATGCTGGCTACCTGGGATCATGTTGCCTAGGCTTCCAAATGTCGATGTTTTAGTGGAAGCGCATCGATCTCTTTTGTTGCTTGTTGACATAGGATTGTAGAAGCTAAGCTGAATGAAGGAGTTTCTTAACTCAAATTCCATCTCTCTTCTTTGTATCTACTGCAAACATTTTAATAAAATTCACCTTATCATATGTTTTGTGAAACTCATCAGTAATTCTGTGGAACTAATTAACTAGCCATATTTGCATCAAGTTCATTGCGCTTCAGAGTCTCACTGCCTTTTATATCGTTTAGACTTTAGCAGTTTCCTGAATTTGTAGAGTTCAAGGTTATATTTGTGATTATCAAAGTGATTGTTTGCTCCTCTCTTTAATAAAAGGGTCAAGGTTCTTCAACTGCCCGGGTTAGCAAAGGCAAAAAGCAAAAAAGCCCTGAAGTCAGTTGGGGTGTCAAGCGTAAGCGTAAGTAAACCTCCCAGGTTTAATGAACAAATGTGCAATTTATGGGAAGAGATTTTTACGCACTGTGATATTCAGGTGTTAATTTATTTATCATTTAGTCTGTTTTTGCCTTACTTACCCGGTATAACGGACTTTTGTATAATTTGTAAAAATTAGATTGTCTCAGTTGTTGAATTTTTGAGCGCATATCTTCAAAGTCGAATTTGAAAATTTTGAGTCCTATTGCTTGTTAGTTGACATTCATTTTGTTGTATTTGGAGATCAAAAAGTGGTTGGAGTATTGATTTTGTAAGATTTGGGTGATAAAAAGCCTATTAGAAAGGTAACCCACCATTGTTAAACAAGTTTGAAGGAATGGAATGAGTTTGAATTTCATTTTTTTTTTTGTGAGAAATTTGGAGTCTTTAGACTCTTTGGCAGTAGTCTAAGGAGGTTGCTACAAAATTTAAAGTCATTTGAGGGAGAGGAGGACCGGTTTTGAACAAATTTTGTAATAAAAAATTGCAGAAGTTCGGCTCTTTAGTTAGAGATGTGTTGATACATTTTATACAATGCTATACACATCAAAGGTGTTATGTTGTTTATATGTGTGTAAACACTGTATAACAAGTGTAAAAAAATTGATGAAAAATATATGCATGAATTTACTTGGTGTGTCCTTATATTCTTTGCCTCATTTAAGAAAAGTTGGGTAGATATATACTTCCGTCTGCGTTTCTCCCCTCTCCCTGAAAATTTGTGATCAATTTGAAACAATTTTGAAGCCCAGATGTGTTGCTGAAATTTCGGCATAGTTTAAGTTAGGATGATCATTAGGATTTCTGGCTAAATATTTGATGAATCACCAGAATATTTAGCCACAAATGTTAAAAAGATCACAGCGATCCGTTAGAATTTGTGGATTTGAGACATCAAGAGTCTAACACCAATGCTCCGTGTTAGGTGAAATACTATGATAATGAATGATCCAATCAAAGCCCAACTTGCTAAGAGCAAAAAGTCTAACAATGAACTCTTACCGTAACTTCCATTGGCAGTTGACTTCCCAAATTATCAATTGTCCAAATTTGCGGTGGAATTAACTTCCTACAACTTTCACATATAGCAAACACAAAATTCATATTTGTATGCTATAACAAAGTTTGCATAATTGCGCTCCATAGCAAACATGCTATGACTAGGCTATTTCGCTATACATATGTACAAAAGAAGCAATTGTATAGTTCGTTGGCTCCTCTTTAGATTTGTATAATTTCGCTTGCAGGCCATTTGTATAAATTGTTGTCAGTCTCTCGTTTGTATAAATCGTTGAGAGTCTCTCAATTTAATTTTATGTGTTTGTATATCTGTATAAAATTTGAATTTGTATACAATTGAATCGAAATAAAACGTTTGTATATCAAATATCGTTCTCTCTCTCGCTTTATACAAACATAAATTATACATTGTATTTTATATAATCTGTGTTTGTATAAAGCGAGAAAGACAGAAAGACAAAAGAGAATTGGACAGGGGAATATTTGTATTGTATAATTATAAGTGTATAGGACGAAGATATATGTATTTGCATGTGTATATATAATTTTCTCTCACTTTATACAAACAGAAACACAATTTATACATTTCTGTTTGTATAAAGCGAGAGAGGCGAGCGCGAGAGGGAGAGTGGTGAGCGAGAGTTTGAGGAGAGAGGTGACTGGCAAACAATTTGCTACATGGCACAATTAAATCAAAGTGTGATTATACCATTTAATTTGAATTAATATTTTGCCATTATGTACAATTTTCCTTTTTTTTATAACACACACGAGACCACCTATAAAGTCAAACACAGCTAAGTATCTTTTGTATTATATTATTAATAATGTAGCAATAATGTTACTTATACTTTGTGTGTAAAGCTTGTGGTGATGAGTCCAAAGCCTTTATCTATGACTAAAATGTTGATACATCGTCTAATAAAGTATTGTTAAGTTTTTCTTTAAAGAAAAATTTGGTAAAAAATAGTACGTACCTCTGACTAGTCAATGCTGAATCATAAACGTTTGAAGTTGCAATTGGCCAACTTGTTGTTGGAGTCGACTAATAAAACAGAAAACCAAGTCGTTCGACGAAAATAATTCATTGCCAAACTTATTATCTAAGAGTCGTTTGATATGTGGGATAAAGATAATTAATTTGAAATGAATTTTATTACGTATTGTTTGATTTGAGGTATAGCTAATCATGAGATTATTTTATTCCACAATTTGTACTAAAATAGTGAAATTACTATCTCATATAGAAGATGAGATAAAATAATTCCATGAGATATCCCTGTTTGTTCGGTCTAGCGTATCAAAAGGTTTATTGTATATGATAGAGTAGTCATACGAATTAGCTAGTGTAACACTGAACTTGCTCCATAGATATCTAGTACTCGATATTCCATTGTACACTTAGAGGAAAAAATAATGGGAAGAGAGAAACGAGCTTGTCAAGGTAAACAACACTTCAGCCATCCACACATCTTGAAACCAATTGTCAATCCAACTGAAACTCTCACTTGCAATGCTTGTGAGCAACCAAACATTACTAGTAATTTCTATGGCTGCAATACCTGCCAATATTACCTCCACCAAAACTGCCTCAACGCTCCGCGTTTTCTTGATCATTCTTCTCATCCTTCTCACCACTTGACCCTTCTCCCAACTCCGACTTACTCGAATCGTTCTTACACTTGCAAGGCTTGTGCCTCTGCTGGAAATGGTTTTAGTTTTAGCTGTGCACGTTGTGAATTCGATGTCCACATGCACTGTGCTCTTTTGCCCCAAACTGTCTTCCTGTCCCAGCACCATCATCATGATCTTGTGCTCATATTTGAATCCCCTTTTTATGATGATGCCGATGATGAAAGCACCGTTTTTGTTTGTGATCTCTGTCGCGACAATGTTGATCTTAATAACTGGTTTTATTATTGTGCTGATTGTGATTTTGGTACACATCTCGAATGTGCCATTTCTAAATCTGTCAGCGAACAAGAACGTCCGGAACTGTTGGGCAACAAACCAAGAGAAAATCCAGTAGTAATCAGGAAAACAGAGGAGGTACCCATCAAGAACGAAAAAGAAATCAATCAAGAAGAAGAGGCAGAGGAAGAAGAAGAAGTAGAAGAAGAAGAAGAGGAGGAAGAAGAAGCAGAAGCAGAAGACGAAGAGGAGGAGAAGGAGGAGGAAGAACTCAAAATTGCAAGGTCAATACTAATTGACAAACATCCACATGAGTTGGAGCTGCTTTAGTTCTCCGTACGAAGATAAGGATACTCTATTTGCTTGTGATATCTGCAATATCATAATGGACTCGGACGAATCTTTGTACTATTGCGCTGATTGTGATTTCGTGTTGCACTTGCAATGTGCATCTCCTGATGCTGATGTTTCCCCCACATCACAGCAGCATCGAAATCCAAATTATCCAATTCCAAATCCAAATCGAACAGTGGAGATGATAAATTATGTGACGAATAAAGTTAAAAAAAAATGAAGCATTTTAGCCACCCACATGACTTGGAACTCTCTGAAGTTCAAGAAACAGAGTAGTTAATCTGCTTAGGCTGTGAGGATAAACTGTGACAAATGCACAAAATCCAACTGTGAATTCCCACTTCACAAATCATGCTTCGAATTGCCAAGTAAAATACAACACAATTCCCATCATAATCACCCTCTCACATTGTACCCTACTTTACCCGAACGAGACTGCATGTATTTTGGTTGCAATGCTTGTATTTCAGTCTTTATATCAATAAAATAAATATCATATTTGTTTCGATCACTTGAAGTGAAGTTTTTATCATTCTGCTTAACCATAATTTGCAAGGCAGTATACAAATAATGATGATCACAACAATATTAATGTGAAAAATTAAGTAAGCAGCGTTAACTCATTATTAGTTAAAAGGAACTCTCTTAAGGTATTATCTACCGGAACTATTACTACTACTTTCTATCAGCCTAGTTCTAATTACAACTATCAAATTATAAGAAGCACTTATTGGCCACCCAAAATCCATGGGATTACTTTTCTTGTAAATTGAAAAATAAGTCATCAGTAAATAGATAACTAACCATGAAATTTATTTAGGCTGGACTTTTTAATTATTTAGCTAAATGTAATGGAATTTCTGTTAAACTTTTTACGGATTAAAAAAAAAAAGAGTTGGAAACACATGCGTGGTATTAAAAAAAAAAAGTGTTAAAACTAAAGATTAGAAATTAAGAAAAATTACCTCAATACACAACTTTTTCACCATATTATCTAAACTTTCCTATCATTTGAAAAAATTACAAAAATTCCTACTCTCTCCTATTCTCGGATACATCACTTTACGCGATGTATCGATGTATCCGGACATTCAGTGATGTATCTGAAACTTAGACGCGATGTATCGATACATTTAGCGATGTATCAAGACGTTTTGTGATATATCCGGATTCCACCAAAATTAGGGAATTCTTGTGATTTGAAAAAAGCAGAAATAAACTGTAATTAGCTCTTAACAATTAACACTATGAAATTTGTATAAAATTCTGAAGAAATTACCTTAGAAATTGTTTTTTTTCCAGGTCCATGCATTTTGATGTGATGTGAACATGAGCTAATATCAGTTAGAGTTAGTTAATGTTAGTTAGGCTGTTAAAAGTGAAAGGGTAGATCAGTCATTTCACAATAATTAGTTGTAACTATCTATCATGAAATTAGTTAGGAAGATTAGTTACAAGTCACACTAAGAGAGTTATAAATACAATGACTTACTCAATGTAATCTTCTTCTTCTTAATACAAAATATCTGATATGCTCCATTGAGCTCTCATTGTTGCTCAGATTGAGCTCTTTCATTTTACCATCACATTTTAAAGAGAGTGTTTCACGCATTTTTTGCCACGTTATAGTCCATGGAAGTCAAGACTATCAAATTGCTAATTTAAGAAGTGTAATTAGGACAAAAAATAATTTCAGAAATGTGAATTGAATAAAGCGCGTAAAGATTAAAAAGGTTCGAGGTATTCTTCCTGCTTTGGCCATGATTTTTTTTCACTTTAAAACCACTTTTGGCAATACAATTCTTGAAGTTGAATTTCAGAATTTTCAAGAATTTGAAAAACTTCAAAAAGATATTTTCACTCCAAATTATTCATCAAAAGTGAAAAAAACAACTCTAATTTTCAAAAAAAATAAAATCATTTTGAAAACAAAAACTAGTTTTTTTTTCAAATTTCACAATAAAACATGACCAAATACCCACCCGTATTCTTAGACCATATATGAAAGTTGCTGAAAAACGTAGCACATAGGGTCCAGTACTTAAGCAACTTGCTATGGCAAGTATGGCACAAGTTGATCCAATCAAAGTCCAAAGTCTATCTTCATCTTAGACTTTTTATTTTTATTTTTTAATCATCACTCAATGCCCTTATGAAAGTAAATCAAATATATCTAAATCCGTAACACCACAAAGTCATAAGTCAACACATTATCCCATAAATATTTTCCACAAATGTAAATTCCTTGAACCTCAATATTTGACTTTCATGTCACCAACTTGCCAAGATTTCTGTATTTTACATGCAATTTTATCTCACTTAGATTATACTCAAAACCTTAGCTTATTGTTTACTAACGAAATTCCAACGAAATGGGAAGAGGAAAACAGACATGTCAAGGTAAACAACACTTCAGTCATCCACACATCTTGAAACCAATTGTCAATCCAACTGAAACTCTTACTTGCAATGCTTGTGAGCAACCAAACATTACTAGTAACTTCTATGGCTGCACTACCTGCCAATATTACCTCCACGAAAACTGCCTCAACGCTCCGCGTTTTCTCCATCACTCATCTCATCCATCCCACCACTTAACGCTTCTCCCAGTTCCAACTTACTCGAATTGTTCTTATACTTGCAAGGCTTGTGGCTCTGCAGGCAATGGTTGTAGCTTTAGCTGTGCCTGTTGCGACTTTGATATCCATATGCAATGTGCCCTTTTGCCCCAAACTGTTGTCCTTCCCCAGCAACATCATCATGAACTTGAACTCATTTTTCAATCCCCTTATGATGATGACGCCGATGAAAACACTGTTTTTGTTTGTGATGTCTGTCACGACAATGCAGATCTTAATAACTGGTTGTATTATTGTGCTGATTGTGATTTTGGCACACATCTAAAATGTGCCCTTTCCAAATCTGTCAGACAACAAGAACCGAAACAGAGGAAAACAGAGAAGGAACCAATCAAGATACATGAAATCAATCAAAAAGAGGAAAACAGAGGTGTGACGAGTAAAGTAAAAAATCTTAAGCATTTTAGCCACTCCCATCCTTTAGAACTCTGTAAAGTTCGACAATCAAATGAGATAATCTGCTCAGGTTGTGAGGATGAACTTTGTGACACTACTGCTAATTACAAATGCACAAAATCCAATTGCGAATTCAACCTTCATAAATCATGCTTCGAATTACCAAGAAAAATACAACACAATTCCCATCCTAATCACCCTCTCACTTTGTACCCTACTTCACCCGAACGACGACTCTATTTTGGTTGCAATGCTTGTGGTGAAATACCAAACTCCTTTGTCTACGAATGCCTCGAATGTAACTTTAGTCTCCATGCTAAATGTGCTACCTCTTGGCCTGAAACCGCGACTCGTGAGGATCATCAACATTCCCTTACACTCCAATATCAATGGCCATTTCCTAGTGAAGATTCTGTGTATATATCCTGCAATGTGTGCGATGGACATTGTAATGATAGCTTATGGCTTTATTACTGTGCCGAGTGTAAACTTGGCACACACTTGAAATGTGTGACAGTTAAAAAGGAAGAAGATTCGAGCCTTGAGACTGAAAAAGAACCTGTACACGAAGAGAATATGACTAATGTGGAGAGATTGATGATGGCGACTATCGAGCTTCAGGAACATCAGGCAAGGATGAATTTTCGATCTAATATGGCCCATCAAAACGCCCAATTTATGAACAATTTGTTTGGTAGCCCTTATCGTTATTACTAAGGCTTTTCTTCTTCGGAATATAAAATAAAAACTATTTTCTTATTATATGGTCTTGCCATAGGAGAAATTGTATAGTTACAAGCTAATTAGCTTTGTTGATTATTTTGGTAGTTGTTGCTTTTCCGTTCTATATATATATATCTGTGCTATTTTGTTGTATTTCAATTTAATATCAATCAATAAATAAAGTCTCTTGTTTGTTTCAATAAATCTTTAATACTTGGGAAAAGGTCCCAGTTTATCCCTAAACTTTATGATTTGGTGCTAATATACCCTTCGTTTAAAAAGTGGCTCATATATGTCCTTGCCGTTATAGAAATGACTCATATATGCCCTTTTACTTAACAGATTAATTTTAATAAATTAAAAATTCATTTTTTTTTGCTTTAATTTAAGAAAATGCCATGTGGCTTTTAAAATACCCCACCTTCCGCCATATCCACCCGACCCAATTGGAAACAATAAAAACCCACCCGCTCAAATTAACTTCACCATTTCATTTCATTGTTTCCACCTCAACAAAAACAAAAATAAAGTTTTTTGTTAGTATCCGGTCTCATTTTGAGTGAAGACTGCTATTTTTAGGACATGAATACAGTTAAATAAATATTTTCCTTAATTGCCTCTTCTTTCGGCTATACAAGGACAAAGATCTGAGAATGATTTCTTGATGGCTTTGTTCTGGGCATACATTTATCTCCTTTTCCAATTCAAGGGTTTCTTTTTTACCAGATTGTGTTTCCTCTCTTTATCGGGGTGCCCTCTGCTTGGTACATTTCTCAAGCAATCTGTTCTTTCTTATCCATTCTTTTTCACACTAAATGAACATGTCTGTTTAGAGATAGATTATCACTCACTTTATGCTTAAGTTATGGGTTTACGGTATATAAGCTTACCTAGTTTCCGTTTAAGATGGATCAATTTATAGACCCTAACAAAGTAAAGGTTAAATGTGCAATATATAGGATGCATAACGCATCTCTTGTAACAATATTTGATGCTTGCATACTTTGGTCTGTTAAATGCTTGATAAATAACTGGGTTTATTGTTTTGTGGGCACTTCAGGAACTGAGGCAGATCCAAGGAAGAAGGGCACTGCTGCGGCCGCTTAAGTTTCTAAAGAGGCAGTTTGATGTTTTATTTTTATTTTGCCTTCCATTTCACCGATGAATTGAAGTTTTGAATATTTGTTTCTCAAATATCACCCGATCTCAGGATCATAGAGCTCACCGGAACCCTCACAATTTTTTTTGGTTTCATTTGAGTGTGGAAATAATGAAATGAAATGAGTTAGGTTAATTTGGGTGGGTGGGATTTTTTGTTTTCTATTGGGTCGGGTGGTATGGTGGAGAGTGGAAGGTGGGTATTTTAAAAGCCACATGACATTTTCTTAGATTAAAGTAAAAAAAATGAATTTTTAATTTATTAAAAATTATTCTGTTAAGTAAAAGGGCATATATAAGCCATTTCTATAACGATAGGGCATATATGAACCACTTTTTAAACGGAGGGTATATCAACTCCAAATCATAAAGTTTATGAGTAAATCAGGACCTTTTCCCTTAATACTTTAACCATTAGTTAGAATTCAAAGTGTAAATGCATCATAAAGGAACTCTAGTTCTAGAATGTGTTTTGTCTAAGCTTATTAGGTGGTTAAACTAATTTGTAAGCATTTTTTAGTCAAATTATTGGTGAGCATTATAAGTATTTATAAGACAAAATCAGTTAAAACTTGGTCATCTCCTATTTATAGTTTTAATTTTTCTGAACTTCATGATACTCTTTTTAAAATATACTCCCTCCGTCTCATTTTATATGTCATCCCTTTCTATAAATAGCTGGACCACAATACTAGTCATTTTATAAAATTTATGCATAAATTACCATATTTTCCCTATTATACCCTTGATAGAATAGTTAATTAATCTTGTCATTTATTAATAAAGTGGACTTAAGAAAACATTAAATAAGGGTAGAAGGGTAAAGTTACATCATTTCTTAATGCAAATGCAAAGTGAAAAGGTGACATATAAAATGGGACGGAGGGAGTAGCTTTTAATTATTTCTTTATCTATTAAAGTGTGTTTTTTTCATTCTTTTCTTATGAGGTCGTGTGCAACAACCTTAACCGCATAAGCCTGGACTGACCCTACCTCCATCCCTAGCTAGATGAGCCGCCATCTCATAAAAACAATTAATCTATTAGAAAAAACACATTTTTATTTATTTAAATATGTCTTCAACATGCCCTGACATGCAAACCTAATTCTTTTGCATGGTCCAAAAACCTCTGTACTTCATTGTTTTTTTTCATAACAAGCGAGCATTGATTTTTGATCTTAGGACTTCCCCTGTTATGATAACCCAATAAGAAAGTAAATTTTGAAACTAACTCAACTCTAATAACTAGCTCGGAAGGTGAGGATATGGTTCAAGACTATATAATAAAACAAATTGCTTCCTGCCTACCGATGTGAGGCAATTTGACATTATTTTATTTCCATCTTTTGTCTTTCTTAAAATGTATAAAAGTACTTCTAAATTTATATTTTTTGAAAATATTTTTGAGGATATTTCAGTCATTTTAATAAAAAAGGTGTTTATCAACAATTTTTCACTACAAAATTGAATTAATGAGTTAGTTGTTTCTTGTACAATCCTTTTATGCTCCCATAACATAATTATTAATTAAATGCAAATAAAAAATAATTAAATGTTACCTTGTCCACAACAATTGAGGCAAGGACTAAAACACCTATAACAAAATGATTGAATGTGCAATTTTGCCTGAATAAAAGATGAAACAAGACATTTGAGAGTTCATGTGAAAGCGATTTTCGACTTAAAGATCTAGACTACAAATTTAGTTAGTTGCAATAATTAAAATTTCAAGGTCCAGAAAATGAATTAAAATTAATAAAGGTTAAATGAATTATGAGTCAAAAGTCAGCAGTATGACTATACGAATAATGGGAATATGAAGTTGAAAATATCAAAAAGTCAACTTTATCGTAAGATCCATGAACAGAATACACAGTTGACTTCCAAGCTTCTTTAATTTTTTTGTCCTCCCAAGTTGGCAATTTGGCAAATTGGTGGATCTACCTTATTTTTTACTTTTATTATAAATGACCACCTGTAAAGCCGAATAGGGCTAACACGTCTTTTGTATTACTATTACTTTGTACTTGTTGAATAGGCTTGATCGTCTTATTTAAAAGTTTAAATTAATTATATTAGAGCTTGAAGCCTTTGTTTATGAGTAAATGTCGTAGGATCTAGTTAAGTTTTAGTATAAAATAATTAAGTTGATTTTAAAGAAAAGTTTGGTGAATATTTTTACTTTTTTCGTTTCAATTTGTTTGTATATATAGTTTTTGTTTTTTTTTTTTTTAAAAAAGAATGTATTTTTTTTATTTTTGATAATTCTTTAATTCTAAATTTCTACGTGACATGTTTAAGATGACAAAATTAAATAATATTTTAGTACATTTGACATCTTTAACTAGTTTAAGACCTCAAAATTTAAATATCTTCTTTATTTTCTTAAACTCTATATTAAGTAAAAATCAGACAAACAAATTTGAGAAATTAACGTCGTCCATGCAACACTTCAAATTAAGAAACAAATTAAAGTAGCTTTGTCCTACTAACAATGCAACAAGAAGTGGTGTTAGAATTATAGTAGGTGTGGTTTGGAACTGGTCTCAAAGAAGCAACACAGACTGATAATACGAAGAAGAAAAATAATACCGGAGCCACCTTAGACGAAGGATGGTCAGGTGCACACCCTTAACACAACTCATAAGAAAATTTGCATATCGTTCACCAAATTCCTGGCTTTGCTACCAACTCTATAAGGGTTCTTAAAATAATGATCAAATGAAACTTTTGGAGCAGAGCACAGCCCCTTCCATCTCGGGAATCCTGCTTGTCTGGCTTCCTAGCTCAAGCTAGCATCTATTATCATATTATACTAAAAATGGAAAGCCACAAAATTAAAAGTTAAAATACCATTTTACCTTTATCATAATTAAAAATGTTATAAATAACTAATAAGTTAAATATTAAGTAATTAAAATATTTTCACAACATTTTCACCTCATAACTTAATTGCAAGCTGAAGAGTTATAAAGTGATCATATTCATCTATAAGTTACAAAGTGACCCGTTACTTATCTAATTGATTATGATATTATGGATAAAGACTATGTCATAAATGTTACTCTTGTAACAGTAAAAACTCAGAGGACCTGTAACACCCCGTATTCAAAATAGACAAAAATGCAGATTTTGAGAAGTTGCAGGTGCAACTTACGGTCACCATCCACGGACCGTAGGTCAGACCACGGCCCGTGCTGGTGGACCGTGGTTCACCACTGCAACCCCTCCCCAGCCAGCTCAGAAAATTGGCTAAGTCCCGACTCACGGACAGACCCACGGTCCGTAGATCAGACCACGGTCCGTGGTCTGTGTCCGTGGATCGAGACTTCCCTTACCCAGCCTCTGACACAAACTACGGTCGACCAGCACGGACCGTCATTCAATCCACGGTTCGTAGGTCTGACCGTAGATGAGGGTCAGCAGCCAGTTAGCTGAAAATTCTGATGGGTCAACTTCAGATGGTCATAAATTTTAGCACAAAATGAATTATGTGTCCCATGACCTATGGTTAGATAGATAATTGAATTATCTTTTCAACTCCACCGAGTTTGCTAAATTCCGACCTCCTAGTAAAAAGTTATGCCCGTTTTAGTGAAGCCCTGTCGGGAAGACTCGACCTACGGACCCAATCGACGGACCGTCGATTGATTGACGGACCGTCAGTCACTCCGACAGCAGCTAATTCAAGGGTCTTTTGGTCTTTTCCTATTTCTTTTAACCCCTAAGATACATCGTTTAGACCCTAAATCATGAGGTTTTAATCAGTTTAAGCCTAGAAACATAACTAGAACTTACCTAAGTCAAATCATTAATCAAACTTAGAAGAATTAGAATCAAGAAGGAGAAAAAGGTCAAGAACCCTAGTTCAAGAACGCAGCAAGGTTTCTTCAGTTCCAGCCCCAAAATCGAAAGATTTCTCCGTGGAATTCGTCACCAGGTATGTGGGATTTCACTAGTGGGTTCCTTTCGCCCATTAGGTCCCTAGAATTCAGTCAGATTCTTGATTCCATGATTATGAACATACCTAGGGTTTCTAGAATTATAGTAGATCATCATGAATTAGTTATTTAAATGTTCCAAATCAGATTATCATGTTATTGCTCAGTTTATCGCATGAATTTCAGAACCCTAGCTATGTATTTCTTTAGTTCTTGAATTACACATGCTAGGCTAGATATTTCAATATTCAGTTATACATGCCTCAGTTTATGAATGCATCATTATCAAATTAATTGTTGCATTCTCAGTTTGCATGTTCAGTTTCGAGCTATCCAGTATTTACAGAAATTCAGTCATAACTAGTTAACCACTTAATTCATTGGGAGTAGCATAATACCGAGTTGGACTAGGGTTTCAGCGTACCCATATAGTCCTAGAACTACGAGCCACGTAGGTGTAAGTCCCCTCTGTGGGCAACATCAGTTTAGTGATCACGCCAGCATGCCTCTATACCTCTGGCAGGGTATATTGGGTCCTCTCGATGGGGCGTATACATCGGACTGCACATTTAGCTCATGTGGTTTTATGTCGGTTATTAGTAGCTCCAACAGTTCAGTCAGACTCTTTTGCATTGACCATATTTCAGTACAGTCAGTATTCAGTCTCAGCATGTTATAAATTTGGTCATTGCATCAGTTAGCTCAGTATTCAGTATTTTTAGTATCTATATCATGTTCAGATTATTTCATTGCTTTATTGCTTTGTTCAGTTATATGTTATTTCAGCTTTACTCTATCCTACATGCTCAGTACCTTTCAAGTACTGACGCATATGTGCGCTACATCTTCTCGTGATGTAGGTTTAGGTTCTCAGTATCTAGATCACGCTTAGATCGGTTCTCGATCTTCAGTTCAGTAGCATCAGTGGTGAGTCCTCATTCTTCCAGGACTAGTGACATGTTTATCTTTATCGCTTTTAGTCTTTAGTTTCAGTTTTGCTAGATTTAGTTGGGGCATGTCCCAACATTTCTAGTCAGTTTAGAGGCTTATTTCAGACATAGTTAGATTCAGCTTAGTGTTTTGAGTTTGATATTTCTTTTGTATTAAACTCTCAGATTTGATATATTTAGCTATAGTATATGGGTATTCACCATCGATTTCAGATTTATTTATGATTTAGCTTCCGCATCAATTTATTTTCTTTAGTATGCTCATGATCATGCCAGCAGGGTTAGCTTGGGATCACTTGTGGTCCTAGGTCCCGTGTCCGCGTCTCGGGGGTAGCTCGGGGCGTGACAGGACCAAATCAATATATATATATATGTGTGTGTGTATAGAGAGAGAGAGAGAGAGAGACTTATGGTTCAAACAAGTACTTCAAATTTAGGTGAAAAAGGATAAATAAAGACAAAAAGAGACCATTGATTAGTGAAGATGAGAGCATAATGACTCGGAGAATAAACGTTTTTCATTAACTTGGTACAAAATTTTAGCATCATCATAAAGTCTTTGTGTATCTATATTGTTGTAAGATAACTGAAAAATCTCAAGAGATCTTGAACTAGTTGAGTTATAACCTATTGTGTATTTATGTTAAGGTAAGCATGGATAGACTAAAAGGACTCTATTACTGAGTTTTTACTCTTTTTGTATGTTTTGATTTTTAGTACATAGCACAAAAAAAGTCATATACTACATTATACCAAATTTATCGATTAAGTTTTTTGGATAAAGTGCAAAAACCATTACTAACATGGAAGGATGCTCTCCATTTTAATAAGTAATTTTAGTCAGTCAATATCCTAAATATATTTTTGAATGGCAATTTGCCAAATTGTTGTCAAGGACGATTTAAAAACAAAAGTACAGTAGAGGGAAACACGTTAATTGCCAACTTATTAAGCGTCATATATAGTTAAATTGATCCACTACCAATATATATTATGCTTAAACTCATAATTAATAGCTATAAATATGAATACTATTTGCCACTGTGATCACTGAGCTTGTTTGATTTCTAATTTGGCACCCCTTTATTGATTACTAAAGAAGTTCCAAAGGAAAATGGGAAGAGGGAAACAGACATGTCAAGGTAAACAACACTTCAGTCATCCACACATCTTGAAACCAATTGTCAATCCAACTGAAACTCTTACTTGCAATGCTTGTGAGCAACCAAACATTACTAGTAATTTCTATGGCTGCAATACCTACCAATATTTCCTCCATGAAAACTGCCTCAACGCTCCGCGTTTTCTAGATCATCCTTCTCATTCATCCCACCACTTGACCCTTCTCCCAGTTCCAACTTACTTGAATCGTTCTTTTACTTGCAAGGCTTGTGGCTCTGCTGGCACTGGCTGTAGCTTTAGCTGTGCATGTTGTGACTTCGATATCCATATGCAATGTGCCCTTTTGCCCCAAACTGTTGTCCTTCCCCAGCAACATCATCATGAACTTGAGCTCATTTTTGAATCCCCTTATGATGACGAGGCTGATGAAAACACTGTTTTTGTTTGTGATGTCTGTCACGACAATGCAGATCTTAATAACTGGTTGTATTATTGTGCTGATTGCGATTTTGGCACACATCTCGAATGTGCCATTTCCAAATCTGCCAGACAACAAGAACCGAAGAAACTGCCAGTCAACAAACCAAGAGGAAATCGAGTAATAATCAGGAAAACAGAGGAGGAACTACAAGAAACCAATCAAAAAGAAGAGGTCAAGGACGAGGACAAGGAGGAAGAAGAAGAAGATGGAGGTGTGACGAATGAAGTAAAAAAAATGAAGCATTTTAGCCACTCCCATGCCTTGGAACTCTCTGAAGTTCAAGAAACAGAGGAGATACTCTGCTCAGGTTGTGAGGATAAACTTTGTGGTACTGCTTACAAATGCACAAAACGAAATTGTGAATTTGCCCTCCACAAATCGTGCTTCGAGTTACCAAAAAAACTACAACACGATTCCCATCCTAAGCACCCTCTCACTTTGTACCCTACTTTACCCGAACGAGACTCCATGTATTTTGGTTGCAATGCTTGTGGTGAAGAATCAAAATCCTTTGTCTACGAATGCCTCAAATGCAACTTTAGTCTCCATGCTAAATGTGCTACATCTTGGCCTAAAACTGTGACTCGTGAGGATCATCAACACTCTCTTGCAATCCAATATAAATGGCCTTTTTCAAGTGACGAATATGTGAATATCTTTTGTGAGGTTTGTTGTGGACTTTGCAATGATAGCAACTGGCTTTATTATTGTGGCGAGTGTAAATTTGGCACGCACCTGAAATGCGCTACAGTTAAAAAGGAAGATGGTTCAAACCTTGAGAACGAAGAAGAAGAAGAAGAAGAAGAGGAGGAGGATTACGAGAATATGAGTGATGAGCAGAAATTGTTGATGCTGACGATCAAAGCTCAAGGTCAACAGGCAAGGCTTAATTTTCAAACTCAAATGGCATTTATGAACGCCCAAACTATGGCCAATATGTTCCGTCATCGTTATTATTAAAGGTTTCCTTTTCTTCTTCGGAAAACAAAATTTAAACTCTTTCCGTACTGAATCACTCTATCTGTGTTATTTTGTTTGTAATGGTTGTGTTTCCAACACTTGTATGCATCTCAAGTATTCTAGTTATTTCGATTTGTTTTCGGTTAATATGTGTTTGTATTTCGATTTGTTTTCGGTTAATAAAGCAACAAGGTTGATCTTACATTCTATGTTTCTGCAGTGATATGCACTGATTGAGAAATTACCAAAATGATATTTATAACGTCTTCGGATATTAATTAACAACAACCTTTTCGATATCATTACATTGTTTTTAACATTAACAAATGATTACACTTTCATTTTTTTGTATGGTATATATACTAAACTACCACCGTACATGTTATGGGTATGGGTATGCTATATATGTGAGTCATGCCCGCTAGCTAGAAGTAGTTGGTGCATGGAATGTGGCAGACTATGTAGTATTACCCGGTATTCTTCGTGATGTATTTTTCTCAGTTTTGTTAGGTGATCTGCACATTTATTATTTCCGCTCAGATTATGCATTATGGAGATTCCAAGTTCGAATAGAAGACGTCAACACTCCTCTATCAGGTCGTGATCAGGGTGACTATCGACAATGTTGTTGGGAAAAATACTACAATATTGATATTGGATTGGAATTACAAAGTAGTAAATAGCTTATCACAAATACTGTGTCGTGGCAAGCCACTGCCTTGAAAGCGATTTCGGCCCGACTCCGGTGCAAATCGTAGTAGCCGGTCGCTCCCCAAGGTTCCACAGTTACTCTCAAACACATGCACTCGTGGCTGAAAGTTTGGAGATTGCCCAAAAATATTCTAAGGATAAGAAGAAAGGAGGGAAATGTTTTGTTTTATTTTCTTCATGCTTGTTAATTAGTAGAGGTTTGTTACCTCATTAAGATTAGTAAGGTAAGGCCTAGCCCCCCTTGCTTGTACTCTTCTCTTTGAGATCCTTTTCATTTTATTAATAAAACTAGCCCTAGGCACACCTTGCCTAGCAGACTTGCTTAAAAAAACAAAAACAAATGCACTACTTATATAGGAAATTTCTATAGGAGTTATTGTAGAGTCAAGAGTTAATTTTGATAACGCATTGTGAATGTTAATGGCATTAAAGGCCATTACATCACATTCTACAGAAACTCTTGTTTTGTTTTGGAACGGAAAATTTATTCTCTTTGTAACATATTTTACTTTGTGTTCTTTGCATTACAATAAATGAATAGGTGAGAATTAATATCACAAATGTCTTTCTTACACAGCAGCATCAAGGAATCACTTGAGTCAGTCTCCGATGATGACTATCTTCAAGTTCTAGTTATTTGTTACGACAAGCCCATCATATATAAATCACAGTTCTGTTGTGAGGCACGATGTCGTTACCACACCTAGTCACCCAATGAATTCTCCGACCCACCTCCCCTTATCATCTCTTGCAATACCTTTAAACCCTGTCAACTCTGACTTCGATATGAAACGTCCATCCGTGTTGATTTTAATAGATCCGAACCGAATAAATGACCAACTAATGTACCCAAGAACATCTCTGTATGACTAATGATCGTCGAATACGATGAGCATTAGTAATCAGAAGAATTACTGCTTTAAAAAAAAAGAAGAAAAGAAAAGGAATACTACATTCCAAAGCTCCATTCTTGATATTTCCCTCAATGCACGCATTAACCTCACATTATTTATCTCAGTTTTTATCGACCTAGTTAATTCTAATATATCTATGAAATTACAAAAAACACTTAATTGCCACCTAAAATCCAGAGGTTTGTACCTTAGGATCAGTAAGGTAAGATCTAGTCATCTTTGCTTGTACTTATTCCTATTGAGATTTTTTTATTTTTAATAAATGCTCGCTGGTTTGGCAAGCTAGTTGCAATAATCAAAACTTAGAATAAGATGAATTATTAGTCAATAGTCAACGGTATGATAATGAATGATGGGAATATGAACTTGCAAAGAGAAAAAGTCAATAGTGGATTCTTTTGTAACATCTATGAACATAATACAGTTGACTTCTCAAGTTTCTTTTTTCGTCCTCGCTAGCTTTGAAAAATGCAACGATGCTCCCCATTTTAATTAGTACGTAGCTGTGTCAATGTACTAATTAAACTTTTTTTAATAACAATTTGTCCCAGACAACTTACAATATTGAAGAGATCAAGAAAAATGAATGCCACTTAGTTGTTGCATGCATTGCCAACTTACTACTACTCCTCTGTCCCTAATTACTTGCCCATTTTTGAAGTGATACACTTATTAAAAAAATAATAATTGATATAGTGAGTTTACCATTTTATCCTTATTAATTATGAAGGGGATGAATTAAAAATTTAAGATTTTCAAAAAGTTCTACATTTTTCAAAGTAATAAATTGAGGGTATAATAGAGAAAAAAAGTTTGTCCTTTCTTGATTTGTCAAAATGGACAAGTAATTAGGGACAACTAAAAAAGGAAAAGTGGACAAGTAATTAGGGATAGAGGGAGTACTAATTAAGTAGGGTAGCTATAAATACTAATACCAATTAGCTATAGTTTGGTCATTGAACTTGCTAGATCTCTAATATATTCATGTCCAGTTGTTGATAAGTGCATCAACAATTGAAAGTTACGAGAAAAAATGGGAAGGGAGAAACGGACATGTCAAGGTAAACAACACTTCAGCCATCCCCACTTGTTGAAACTAATTGTCAATCCATCTGAAACACTCACTTGCAATGCTTGTGAGCAACCAAATATTACTAATACTACTTTCTATGGCTGCAATACCTGCCAATATTTCCTCCATGAAAACTGCCTCAATGCTCCGCGTTTTCTCGATCATTCATCTCATCCTTCCCACCACTTGACCCTTCTCCCAACTCCAACTTACTCGAATAGTTCCTATACTTGCAAGGCTTGTGGCTCTGCTGGCAATGGCTGTAGCTTTAGCTGTGCCTGTTGCGAATTTGATGTCCACATGCACTGTGCCCTTTTGCCCCAAACTGTTGTCCTTCCCCAGCACCATCATCATGAACTTGAGCTCATATTCGAATCCCCTTTTTATGATGATGCTGATGATGGAAGCAACGTTTTTGTCTGTGATCTCTGTCGCGACAATGTAGATCTTAATAACTGGTTGTATTATTGTGCTGATTGTGATTTTGGTACACATCTCGGATGTGCCATTTCCAAATCTTTCAGCGAACAAGAACGTCCGAAACTGTTGGGCAACAAACCAAGAGAAAATCCAGTAGTAATCAGGAAAACAGAGGAGGTACCCATCAAGAACGAAAAGGAAATCAATCAAGAAGAAGAGGCAGAGGAAGAAGAAGAAGCAGAAGAAGAAGACGAAGAGGAAGCAGAAGCAGAAGCGGAAGACGAAGAAGAGCAGAAGAGGAAGAGGAACTCAATTATCCAAAGTCAATACTTATTGATAAACATCAACATGAGTTGGAGCTCTGCTTTGGTTCTCCTTATGAAGATAAGGATACCCGACAATTTGAAATAACGATGAAGAGGCTTAGAATTGGAAATAGTAATTTTTTTGGAAGGAATTAAAAATCTGGAATTTGGTTAAGTATGGAAAATAATGAATTTTTGGCCAACTTTGAACAGTTATAACTCCTAGATCAGGATGATATAGGTGTGTTTCCAGTTATGGTTGCAAATTTCATGGATTGGTTTTTCCAACACCGCTGAGTTTGCTTGTTTCCGAGTTCGTATGACTGAGTTATGCCCTTTCGAAGTTGGGCAGTTGGCAGGGAATCCGTCCGGAATTTTCAAGGATATTTTGGTCTTTTCCCTAGCCTTTTCTTTTGGATATATATGAGTGTGTGGGACTGATTTTGATCAGTTTTTCTCATTTTTAAAGAGTGAAAGTAAGCGTTTAAGAGTGAAGAGGAGAAGAAGAGGAAAAAAAAAAGAGAAGATCAAGCTAGGTTTCGTTAAAGATCGTCGTGTTTTTCTTCGGGGGTGATCCCTGTTAAGGTATGTGAGTTCATAGTGTTGGGTTGGTTCTTTCCCCCACACGCCAAGCTCGTTTAATTTCGAGAAAAGATTGATTATGTTTGATTGAAGTTGTTGGTTGGAATTGTTGAAGTTGTAGTTGTGTTGTGTTGTAGTTCTTGTTGGTTTGGTGTATGTTTCCGGTGGTGTTTTTGAGTTGAATCTAGTGTATGTTAAGGGTTTTGATGATCCTAAGTGTTTGGGGGGTGAAGCTTTGAAGTTTAGAAGGTTTAGAGTTGGAGAAAAGGAGGAGAAAAGTCAAGTTTTCGGGGAAAAGGGCTGGGGCGTCACGCCAGCCAGCGCGCCCCAAGGGGGACTCTAAGGTCCAGCCCTTGGGGCGCCGCCCCTACCAGAGCCCCAACCAGACCTCTCTGAAGTTTGAGGTGTGGCGCTCTGCGCCTCTCAGAGCGCCAAGTCTTCTCGTTCTTTCCCCACTTTCTCATACATGTTCCTAGGTATTGTACCTATGTTCCCAAGTTGTTTCCAACGCCCCAAGGTACGTTTAAACGTCAAGAACTCGTCCATAACATGTGATCAAACACCTTGAATTCATAATTCCAATTCAAGGAAAGTTAGTTTCCAAGTCAAGTGAAGTTAGAAGTCAAGCTTAGAAGTTAAGTAAGTCAAAGCAAGTCTTTAAGGTTCTCCAAGAGTCTTCATTGAACGTTATTACTTATTTTTAAGGCTCAAGTTCCAAGTTAAGTATAGAGTTTCAAGTTGAGTAAAGAGCATAGAGTTCCAAGTTAAGTATAGTGTTTCAAGTTGAGTAAAGAGCATAAAGTTCCAAGTTAAGTATAGAGTTTCAAGTTGAGTAAAGAGCATAGAGTTCCAAGATAAGTATAGAGTTTCAAGTCGAGTAAAGGGTATCGAGTTTCCAGTTAAGTCAAGAGTTTTCAGTTAAGTCAAGAGTTTCGAGTTAAGTCAAGAGTCAAGAGTTGAGTTCATTTCTCAAAAGTTATTAGGGAACTAAGTATTCCCAAAGAAGTTTATAAATGTTTTCACATTTAAGATGAGAGAAAACTGAGATTTCCAAAAGAGTTTTGAGAAGTTTGAGTACTATCTCTTTCTAAGAAAAGATGAGTTTTGCGAAAGAGTTTCTAAAACATGATTAGTATGACAAATCGAGTATGTCATCAATGTTTAAACAGTATGGTATCTAGATATACCATCAATGTTTAAGCAATATGAATATCCCGAGTCATCAATGATCATATTAAAATATGGTTTTGAGATGTTCTTTTTAGAAAGAGTTTTCAAGAGCCTTTGGGCTAAGCTTTGGGTAATTATCTCAACTAAAGAAAGATGTGTTGAAAACACTTATGAGCTAATTCGAGGTAAAACGTTGTATCACTACTTAAGCATGTAGTTGTGGTTATCGGTTAGAGAACTCCCACAGTAGAAAGAACTTGGTTCCTTGAAAAGTTCTGCTTAGTATGGATGGGGGTATGTGACTTCATTCATGCATTGCACAAGTAGACTTTGAGAGGAAGCATAGTATTTTCATGATATTATAAATATGATTTTTACGTCATGTTTTAAATAGTTTTACAAGCTTTATATATTGCATGTGTCTCATTGCTTTATATTAAGTTCAGTTATTCATGAGTTGAACAGAGCCAAGGTAGGTTCTCTTTTGTATCCCTTTCAAGCTTAAGTTGTTGTTTAGCAGTCCAGCTCGCATACTCGTACATTCCATGTACTGATGCCAGTTGGCCTGCATCTTGTTATGATGCAGACGCAGGTACCCAGGATCAGCATCCAGCACGCCGTTGATCCAGTTGAGCACTTCAGAGTCAGTGGTGAACCTCTTTGCATTTCGGAGGACTCGATTATTTTGTTCTCTTAGTTTTGTTTTATTAGGATATTGTGGGGTCTGTCCCAACATCCATCTCAGTATTTTAGAGGCTTCATAGACAGTCAGTCAGTTGGTTTGGAGTCTCTCATCTATGTATATATGTAAATATTCTATTTTGAGACTCGAGTTGCCTTTTTGGCTAGATTTTTATCAGTTAGGTTGTTTTATAACCTTGCATTGCATTGAGTTGCTGTCGAGTTAAGTTTCCGCTGAGTTAAGAAAGCCAGGCCAAGGGTTCGCTTGGGGGCCAACAATAGTCTTCGAGTGCCGGCCACGTCCAGGGTGTAGGCTTGGGGTGTGACAACACCACATCCTGGTGACTTGTATTTTTATGGTTCATGTTGATGCACATTTTTCTCCATCTTCTTTACAGTTTCTATGTTTATCTATTCACAATTGTTGATAATTGATATTGTTGGGGGGAATTTACATTTATACTAACATAACAGAAATTCTTAAAATGCACATAAAAAATAATGGAAGAATATCTTGTGCACAAAAATTAAGACTAGAACCAAAAATGCACTAGCCCTATAATACAAGGGTGAAACGTGCAATTTTGCTTAAATGTATAGATGAAACCAGGAAAAGCTAAATGCATAAAGGAGATTTAATTCGATGGGCAGAAAAAAGGAAATTGGTTTTATTTTTTCATTAGTTTGTAATGTGTACATAAGAAATAATGAATTCAAATGCCTGCTCTTATGACAAGTTAGTTTTCAATGCTGCAGTAACAAAAATTTCAACGTCCAAAATATTGATGCATATTTCAACACGTCTAAATTAAAAATGCCAACTAATTGATAAGAGCAAATTGAAAGTCATTCGTAACCGCAACTTCCATGAACCTAAGAAAGTTGAATTCCTATGTTATTAACTTATCCCTTGCTATTGCTATCATCGTTAAGTAGCTATAAATACTGATGAGAATATATTTCACAGTAAATTAGTTAGTTAGAGTTAGTTGCTACAGTAGAGTTAGTTACGGTCTTGAAGTTAGTTAGAGATTCTTTCTTATTTCTTTCTTATTATTTTTCCTCTCTTACTTTGTATATATACTTCATCTTGTAAATGATTTAGTCATTCATTCAGTTCAATACAAAAAGTGCAATGTACACAATTCTTCTCCCCACAAACAGTTGATTGTTGATTTCTTCTTTGCTGCATTCAACCCTCTATTAATGGAGGAAAGCAGTCTCGAGCAGAGCTTATGCTCTTAGTTTTGTCATGGTATCAGAGCGAGGAGGTTGTTCCTGATTGATTTCTGAATTAGAATTGTCTTCGTGAGTATCAAGCTTCTTCATTCTATCCCATTCGTTTCCAGTCGAGTTCATCCCTGTGGATTTGTGTATTCGACTATTTTTTTTCTGATTGAAATCCCAATTGTTCGATCTTTGTTTTCTGATTTTCAATTGCGTAATCATTTTACTCTTCTTGCTAAACCTAATTTCCGCATTCATGGTTGATATTCAAGCTGATCCAACATTAGATAATTCTAGTTCTACACTGCCTGCTAGAATAGACATCACAAGTCCTTTCTATTTACATCCATCAGAAAGTGCAGGTTCCACTCTATTACCTGCAATTTTCGATGGATCTGGTTAGAGATCCTGGAGACGTGTTGTTCTTCGAGCATTATCAGTTAAACGCAAAACTGGATTCATTAATGGCAAAGTTGTGTGACCTGATTTAGACGATCCAACATTTGCACAGTGGGAGAGGTGTGATGATATGGTGACTAGCTGGATCCTCAATTATCTTTCCCCAGATCTGCGTGATAGCTTACAATACATCAACAATGCTAAGGAGCTTTGGGATGAATTGGAAGATAGGTATGATCAAACGAATGGCTGCAAATTGTACCAACTCCAAAAAGAGATCAATGATCTTGTGCAAGGGAATTTAGACATCACTGGATATTACACAAAAATGAAGAAGCTATGGGAAGAGATGAGTACTATTGATGTTGCTTCACAGTGCACATGTGTGTGCAACTGTGGTGGAAAAACCAGAATGCATAAAGCTGAACAAGACAGACGTCTCATACATTTTCTAATGGGGTTGAACGAGCTCTATACTGCTATAAGGGGCAATATCCTAATGATGAGTGTTCTGCCAGCATGGCCCAGGCTTTTGCCATATTGTCACAGGAAGAGAGATAGAGAGAGGTAAAACCTCACAACAATATAGCATTAGAATCGACCTCACTTAGTGCCTCAGCTACTCACAACAATACTGGTCCTAAAGGTTTCAAAACCAACTACAATTCCTACAGAGGAAGTGCAAGTAACTCCAACACATCCAACACCAACAATATGTTCAGAGGTAGCTCTAGTACTGGCAATAGGTCTAACCTGTTCTGTGAATTTTGCAAGCGATCTGGACACACCAAAGACAGATGTTACAAGCTTCATGGATATCCATCAGGGCAAAGGTTTCCCAAGGGAAGAGGATCAGGTTCTGCAGCAAATGTGCACACTTCTGAGGAAGAGAAGAACCACTGTGAGGATACTTCTGATATGAACAGGCAAATGCCAGTGAATTTGTCCAAAGACCAATATGAACAACTACTTAATCTCCTGGGAACATTGCAAGCTGGACATGAAACTGATAATCCAGGGAGCATGCTGAATAATGCTGTGAATCTG